TAGGGGATTTCAATGCAATTCTGAACTCGTTCGTAGGGAAAAGGGGGATGTGAACCTAACTTCAATGTTTTGGTAGAATTTGCTGATGTGGGCTAATTGATGGAGGATTTCTTGGTAAACAATGCACTAGGACAATTGAATTATGAGATTAATTGCAAATAAATAGAGAAAGTGTATGTTGAAATATTTCAATTATTTTATTAATTTTGAAATGAATGGATTAAAGATATATATTTTTATATTATCAAATTGAGTGTATTTAATTAGTTAAAGCAAGAAATTATTAAATATAAAAAGTTTATAAATAAATTATGATTCATATTTCAGTGAGAATACAAGGAGAACAAATTTTCTTCCTATTTTAATAAATTACATATGATAACTATTTAGGTATATTTAATAAATAATTAGAGTGAGAAAAAGAGCAAAATTATGCAGTATTAAATAATAATAAAATAAAATTCTAATTAAGAAAATATTATTTAAGGAATGCAAATATTCAATTTTAATTAGTGAATTAACTAAGTAATTAGAGAGAGAGAGAAAGCGCTTAGGAAATGCTTCATTTAATTAAATTATTAAATTTTAGAAAATAGTATAATTAAAATGAGAAGTTTTTAAATATGAGAATGTTATAAATTAATGAAAATTAAATCATAGTTCATATATAACTTCTAAATGGAGGATAACAAATTCTCTTATTTAAAAAAAAAATATTTAAGTATGCTTAATAATTATATATAAAAATAATATAAGTTAAAAATAACTTTATGAAATCATGTATTATTTATTATATGTGTCATTTTATTAAAGTCAGAGCAAGGACAATAAATGCAAGCAATCCGAATCAAAGTGAGTATGCATTTTTCATATTATAATAATTATATTGCTTCTAATTGCATTTTAATTGTTATTGCAAATGATTTATCTTTTTGTTTATTCAAATTGTATTGAAAATGATTCATCTCTCATATATTAAATAATTTATCTTATATTACTGGATAAAGCATAAAGTAAAGGAATGTAATATGAATGAAATGATTTGATATATGTGATTGCATATACATGTTGACTAATGAAGCAAATCCTCTTATGGTACTAACTGGAGACACAATGTACTCGTGCATATTCTTGAAAAAATAAAAAGAAATATAAAAGGAGTACGTTCATTGGGACTAAATTAGACGGTGTCTCCTCTGACGGTTGTATTATTTATAAAATATGAGAAATATATAAATACATATATGATTTATACATAATATTTAAAGTCTTGATGAAATGATATGATTAAATATAATTATTTTATGATATGAAATGAAAAAGGGATCATGCATATTTGTCTAACATGAGTTACTGTAGTTTAGAAGTATGTTTTATTCACTTAGCTGTGGCTTACTTTTAGTTGCTCTAATATTTTCAAGTATAATTTAATATAAAAGTAAAATGAGCATAAGAGGTAAAAATGTGTATTATAGGCGGGACGCACCAAATGAAAGGTATTTAATACATTTTATATCAGTTTATATTTTTTATGAAATGAAAATTTAATTTACCATCCGACCGTAAGAATGTTGTGAAAACACTTTAGTCTTGTTGTTTTCAACATAAAATAACCCAAAAAAGCTTCCACCATTGGTCACTTGCTTCTCCTCCATTTATTATCCACAAAATAGCTAAGAAAAGCTTCCACCATTGGTCATCTGCTTCTCCTCCAGCTATTGTCAAGGAAAAAAAAAACCAAGAAAAGCTTCCACTACCAGTCACCTACTTTTCCACCTGCCGCCCCCAAAAACAACCAAGAAATTCCACATTGTGCTAGAATTTCCTTTTCTTGATTTCAAGAAATACCTTCCTCCTTTCCCTTTATCTTCCTTGACCAAGCTCTGATACCAATTGCTAAAAACCTTGAAGGTAGAGATCTTAAATTCCTACATTCCTCACCGTCGATCCCACTTGATAGTTGCACCTCCACTGCAGCCTTGCTTCCTTGTTTGGATCGAGAGTCTATAACTATTTGGCTTCCTCCCTCACTGTCGGTCCCCTTTGGTAGCTTTACTCCACCACAAACTTACTTCCCTGCGTGAAAATTTTGGAGGGAGAACTTGGGTAACTAAAAGTTGATTTTGAGAAAAAGATGGTTGATTTTCAAAGTCAATTTGCATTCGTCAATGAAAAGATGAAGGAAAAGTTTGCCGTGGTGAAAGACATGTTGAAGAAATTGCTTGAAGCCAAAACCAAATCGGTGACATCGGAAGCAAATGAAACTACCGGCGACCATGGAAGATATGAGAACCCTAACACGTCTAGGGGATGGGAAAAGCCAGAAGTGGATATCTCGGAGGGAGAAGACGGAATGTCTCCTCTGGAACCACTTTCTAGGGAGGAGATGAGCATTGGCTACGCAAGAAGGGGTGCTGAATTTGTAAGGAGAGGGGATGATTTCAATCGCTGGGGTGCTGATTTTGAAAGAAGAAGAGGGGATTTTGATGAATGGTTTGGTATGATCGCCGGAAGGAACGTGACAATTGAGGTGCTCCTCTGCTTCGAGGAATGAGAGGTTATGGAGTTAGAGAGAGTTCAAGGATTGTTTGGTAAAACGTTTCTGAACTTGCAGGGGAGGAGACTTCTACGAGCAATTCTTCGCCTTGACATAGGAGGGCTCAGTGACGGAGTTCCGGGAGAGATTTGAGTGCTATGCTAGCCGATTGGACCGCCTTCCTGAGACAGTACTAGAGGGAAACTTCATGAAGGGATTGACACCAAATATCCGAGCAGCGGTTAAAGTAATGAGGCCTTGTGACTTGGGAAAGGCTATGAGCTAGCTCAATTTGTAGAATATCAGAGGCACCTGGAGGGAGAGATGGGAGGTGATAGCTCAGGAGGCTCGTGCAGGATGACCACCACCTTATTGAAATCCAAGGAGCCATCACCGGATACTCTTCGGGGGACTTTGAACAAAAAGACTACAGGAGGAAGACCTAGGGACAATTTCAAGAAGCTCACAGAGACAGAATTACAGGAGAAGAGGACGAAGGGGCTCTTTTTAGATGTGACGAGAGGTATACTCTGGGGCATAGGTGTAAGGACCGAACTCTTCATGTTCTTATCGTCTGTGATGAAGAAGGAATGGAGGGTGTCGTCTTTCCACCTTTTGTACAAGGTGGATTTTTGGGAGAGGAGTATTGTTAGACCGGTCCATTGGACCGGTCCAGCCGGTCCAGGTGGGACTGGCTTATGGGTGTTTCGTTGTTCCGCCTCCTGCGAATGTCGCGCCAGCCATAAGCCTTGCCGGAGCCGAATAGGAAAGTTTTTTTGGGGAATTAAGAGGGAAATTTGAATGTAGGGTCTGTTTAGAGATTTCCTTTTTATTTGTATGCATTTAATAGTTTATTTTCCTAGGGTTAGGGTATCTTGAATTTGGCTGAAATTTGAGATCTCTTAGATTTAGGTTTTCTTTGGGCTCTAGCGGTGTTTAGAGATTTGGGAGAGATCGATCCTCCTCTCGAATAGAGGATCAATTGTATCTCTCTATTTTTCATTTCTCTTTCATCAAAAAATACAAATTATCTACTATTTTTGTAATTTTGAGTGGATTTTGGTAGAGAAAGCTCGCTGTTTTCCAAAGATTGATAGCAAAAACTTGAGATCTACAAGTGTTTCCTATCAAATTATAAAGAATTCTCATGATGCATGCATATCACTTAAATTTTTTTGAATTTGGCCATTTTGCATGCCTTGATAATGCTCGCATGATTTTTGCGATATTACTCGGAGTTGGAGATCTTGTCATAAAACTAACGCAAGCATTGAAATCATCTAAAGTTCAATATTTGCATTTGAATATTGTCATTAGGTTGCTTGCAAATTTTTTATTTTGAGTTCTTAACAACCGTCTTCTATCTACTTAGATGAAAATATAGTAGATCTAGTAGCTAATAGGGCGAATTTTGGATTAGTTGGGTTGAGATGTAGGCACTTTTTCATACTTCGTTCTTTTTATCATTTTAATATAATTATTTTTTATAATACCATGGGTTTCATGAAAGTTCATTTCTCCGCTATAAATATGGGGTATGTTAGTTCATTACTTTTACCTCCAAGCTTCATTTGAGTTTGTTACTGTAGCTTCTTAAGGGTTTTGAGTATAACATTGAGGTTTAGCTCGAGTTTTTAGTGAGCTTGCAGGTGTTTCAAAAGTTTTGTAGATGTCTTTTTATTTTCAATTTGTTGTTCAATATACGTTCTTCTTAGAGCTGCTTATTACATTTTACGCATTAGAGGTCCCCTATGTATATCTTTTAAAGTTCATTCAGTTTAAATTTTTGCATCCTGACGGCTCCCATGTAATGGAATCTATGGAGAGTTTTGGCTTACCCATCACATCAAGAAAATGTGCAAATTTGGCATCTTATAGCACTGCCAATAGAATTTTTAAAACTGACCACATCAAGAAAGGCACATATGGGGTACCTTGATAAGGAAATTGTAGGAACATATAAATTTTTTTGCCAAGCTAGGAAAAGTGCTATCGAAGTTTACCCATCACATCACAAGCATCACCTGAGGTTCCCCTTCCTGCCAAGAAAGCATGAACTAGATATGCTCGTTGTGCCAAACACTTCACATAGGAGGTGTTAGGAATTTTCAAGCCGTGTCACATAAGTCACCAGCAAGTTTCTCCTACTAAACTAAGGAAGTGTGCATGAGTTTTGCAGTCACTGCATCAAATGCATCGTCAATGAGATTTTGAGGTTTATTGCAGTTAATTGATCGTTGCTTTCCTGATTTAATATTCTTACCAGGGAAATTTGCTGCTTTTTCTTTCATAAAATAGTTAATCACTTCCCCAGCATTTACATTTGATCTTGATTTCTAGTGATATTGCAATCCTTCAACTCTCTTTATTAATTAATAATTATGCATTATTCAATATTTGATAACAAACCATCTTTTCAAAAGAATTGTCGTGGTTGATAAACCAATGCTTTCTGTTGAAACAGGTTAGTTGCAAGATCATGAATTTGAGGTCAGGAGCAGAGCTTCCAGAGAAATGCAGAGAGCTTGCCAAACATTTTGAATCACAAGGAACTCCTGTAATGATAGGTCTGTGGTGTTTGGCTACTCTCTTATTATTATTTCATCAATGAAAATTATAAATACTTTCTAAATTCTTTAAGAATTAACTTGTTTAGTTTCAAGCAATTTAAAAGTGTAAGGTTTGAAATTATAATCGTCTTCAACCATCTACTTTGGAAGTTTTGATGCATCTTATTTATGGTTAAATGAAGTTCTGAAATCATACACGTAATTGGTTTTAATAATGTTAAAGAGAATAAATAGTGCATGCGTGCGCGCGCGTGTATATATATATTATAATAGGATGTTGATGATAACAAATGCTGATAATATGGTACTCCCTTTATACGATTATAAATTGCAAACAAGATTTTGCAGGTGGAGGTGTCCTTGCTTATACACTGTTGGGAGTTGACTACAATGAAACGAGCGGGGATTGTGCCTTTCTTATCCTAGACCCACACTACACAGGAAATGATGACCTAAAGAAAATTGTAAATGGCGGTTGGTGTGGGTGGAAGAAGCCTGTTGATAGCAAGGGGAGGAGTTTCTTCTTGAAAGATAAGTTCTACAATCTTTTGCTCCCCCAGAGGCCTAACATGGTTTAAAGCATTAAAAATTGGAGCACGCTAAACATTGCAAGGAAGAAGGTAAAAGCACACCCAAACTAACTAGACTTTCATTTGATCTCCCTTCTTATTTGTATGCTGTCTCTCCCAAAACATTTAACTTTGCAGGATATCTTACCTTAAATTTGAGCCCGCTAATATATGATTTTGAATTTAAACTTTCACCCAGGTACTTCTACTTTGAAAGATCATTTGAAGCAGTTCGGGCGTGGCAAGGCACTGGCTTAAAAGATGGTTGAAGATTGAAAGGCCCAATTCATATGGCGCAAATGTAGATCTTGACGAGATTCCAGTGCATTTCTGGATGATTAACATAAATCAAATTATTTTATTGTTAAGATCATAGGAGCATAATGTATTTTTGACTTAGCAATTTTATACTATATTGCAAATTAACAATGGTTCAGGTAAAACCTTCAGTTCATGCAAGGAAGGCAGAAATGGACAATTTTCTGCCTGGCTCGTGATTGAACTGAACTCGTACAAAAATGGCGAAATTTGCTGCTAAGCTTGCTTTGTTTCTCCTCGTAATTAGTTTTTTGAAATGGAATTGTGGTTTTTTTTGAAAGCTTGTTTAAATATTCTCAATTTGCATGTACATTTTCTTATGACCTTATAAGCATATGGATACATTTATTAAGCTTTTCGTTATTCTATAGAATAAAATGAGTTTATTCACAGAATATTTTGTAAAGCACAAGTATCAACACAAATTTATCATATGAGACTAAGGCTTCGTTTGGGATGACTTCCTTACGGCTGCTTAAATTAGTTCTCAACTAAAAAGTTGTTTTAAGATGTATTAAAAAAAGTCATCTCAAACGAAGCCCAAGTATTCAATAGTGTCTTAAGCCTCGTTTTGCAGAAGTATCAAGTCATTGTATAGTAGGCTTATTAGTAAATTAGATTTTGATTTTGGATTATGTATTATCATCAACTGCATTATGGAAGGTTTTGTCTCATGATCAGTTGATCTGCTTCAGCTAGCTCAAGATGGGGATGAAAATGCTGCAATTAAGTCTCCTATTGTTGAATAGTATTTAGATTTTATTTGGGATGAATTTTTTATTGCTTCTTAAAATAATTTTTTAATACAAAATTTAAAATTTTTATATTAAAAAACAGTAAGAATGTCGTCACAAACGAAGCCTTAGTTTCGGCTAAAATCCGATTAAAAAAAGTATTATAAGTTTCCTTATTTCTAAAAAATGTCTTATAAGTTGTGCAGGTTTATAGGTCAATGTTGTGGATTGGGGTTGTTGATCGGCAACCTAATGCATGTGGAGAAGCTCTCATGGCTTTCTGATTTTGAAATTGGTTTTGGTTGCGGGATTTTGAAATACGCCAAAAAAGTTCTTTTTGAATTATTTCAAATTAATTGAAAAATACTTTGCATTAATTATAACTTATATAAATTCTTAGAACTTATACGTATTGTCTCTTTTATTTTGCATCCTTAACATCATTGCAACCAAGCAATACCTAACTTTATGAACATACAAAATTCTTTTGCGAGAAATTCTTTCGTAGAAGTTTTGGAGTTTGGAGGATATGGAAGTAAACAACAAAAATATTATTGCACCGGAAGTTTTTTAACGTGCAGTATATTACTTTCATGGTAAATAATATTTCTCTTTTTTGGAAACTTTTGGAGCCGCAATAAATGTTTTAATTTTTAATTGTAGCCCTCAAATGGCATTTAATTTGTTAGAATATTCTGCATTACAAAACTAGGATATAATATTTTAATATCACAACGTTGATGTTGAAACTAGGGAGGAGGATCTTCTTGAGAGATATCTTCTTGCAAGATCTAGAGAGGGAGAGAGGAGGGAACCGTGAGCCAAAAATGCTTCAAACTTTATTTCCTTTGGCTGCCTATTACAAGCCTAAACACATCTATTTAAAGACTCCTAAAGGCTATACAAATAGCCCCACATATGGCTACATATGCCATACACAAAACCTATACAAGAAAGAATCCTAAATCTAGGAACAAAACACAACAATCTCCACCTTGGGCATAGATTTACAAAAATAAAAGATAACCACTGTTCTTAAAGAACAGACTATCGGTCTCCTCCGCCAAAAGCGTCCACCGACATTCTAGCTCCACCTCCCGACAGATCTCCTGTCGCACTGCGTCCAACTCAGCCAATCACGAGCACCCCTAGCCCGGCTTCCGCGCCCTGTGCATCCACCAGCACCCTGTGCCTCCAGCCCGCGTCCAAACGCCACGAGCCCGCGCCCGTGCCTTGCACTCATGTGGTCTGTCACCGACCACATTCTGCACGTATCCACCCATGCAGCGAGCCCTGCGCCTTCACCTGCGCTCCGCTCGTCACCAGTGCCCCGCGCTCCTATGCGGCTTCCTCGTGCACTGCACGACCTCGCATCTCCAAGCGCCCCGCACTTTCAACCCTGCTCTCCAAGAACTGCCGGCACTACCTCAGTGTCTCTCGGACTCCACCTAAATTCCAAAACTCCACCGCAAAGATCCAAACTGATTTTTCAACCAAAGAACCGAAAAAATCTTCTTCAAGACCGATCGAAACTTGATTTAAGATCAAGCAAAAAATCCGGTCTCAACAGCTTCCATACCTTCGATCTTCTCCGATTTGCAACAGTGGCAAGCACCAGTTTCCTGCCACTTTCTCAACAACTCAGCATGCAACAAGTTCCTGCTAACTCTACCATATGCACGGCCTATCAGAATTAGATCGTTGCTATAAAGATATGTTATGGTATCTTGCCAAACATGCTATATACAACCTTCCAGTCCAAGGCCTCAGCTTCAGCAACTCTGATTTCGCACGTCCACCTGAAGCCTCCCGCTCCAGCCGCCTCCGGTAACCCCGCCGGATGTCCGGCCTGCTCGGCCGATCCAAAATCCCGATCAAGAAGGGGTGTTGACCAGTTCTTTCTCCGGACCTTGGCTTGCCTGTGTAGTCACCGGCAAGCCGGTGTTCCTTCTTTTGGTCTCACCTGGACAAAAGCCAGGTTCCTCCAGGTGTAGCCCCACCGGACGTCCGTGAGAGAGGTCCAGCCTCTGGTCCGTCCAGCCTAATAACTGCAGCCGCCGTTTCTCTCCATAGGCTTTGAACTCTACGCCGGCTCACCCGACGCCAGCCCAGTCCAACGTCCGGCCTCCCTCATGCGATCTCCCCTCCGACTTCCCAGCCGTATCTAATCTTCCCCAAGTGCCGTGAGAGGCCCGTCTTGAACTCCTCCGACCTTCTTCCTTCCTTGCTCTCGTCAATCTTTCTTCGTCTAGGCAGAACCGGCCGGGAAAACAAGAAGGCGTCGCTGACAACAGCGCTCCAATCAAGATCCCAGGCTCTGATACCAAATTGTTGAAACTAGGGAGGAGGATCTTCTTGAGAGAGATCTTCTTGCAAGATCTTGAGAGGGAGAGAGGAGGGAACCGTGAGCCAAAAATGCTTCAAACTTTATTTTCTTTGGCTGCCTATTACAAGCCTAATCACATCTATTTAAAGACTCCTAAAGACTATACAAATAGCCCCACATATGGCTACATATGCCATACACAAAATCTATACAAGAAAGAATCCTAAATCTAGGAACAAAGCACAACAGTTGAGTTCAAGTGATGATTGATTTCTAATTTATTATTTAAGTATTATGAAGAGAAATAATGCTAATATAAAAAAAATAGGTCTTGAGATGTCCAACGGGAAATTGGGTGTTAAAAAATACAATTTTCATTAAGAACCTGTCAAAGAGATGGGGATTCCAGTTAGAACATTTGTGAGAACATAAAAAATACAGTGCACTTAGCTGGTGACACGGCATATAGCAAAAGTTGAAATTGTCACGGAAAAGAGCACAAGTTGAAATTCGAAAAGAAATACAAGGGATTAGATGCATAAATATCAGTCCCCAACTTGATTAAATTCATAATGGATCTTAAACATAAGACGTGGGGACTTTGGATGATGCAATCAATCTATCAACAATAAAGTTGAGTTCATATTTGATTTTAGTGAAGTTTGCTTTGCCAACCACCACCTTTCTAAGTCTCAATGGTTTTTCTCAATATTAGTTCTTGGAACGTTAGGGGCTTCAACAACCTTGAGGATTCTCGGTTATAAAAATTCAGTTAGTGATTTTACTTTAGACGTGTTATGCATTTTAAAGGAAAACAAAATTCAATTTTCTCTTGAAGTTAAGGAATGTTCTCATAGTTTCAATTAAATCAAACCAGAGAAAATTTGGATTAAATGGAATCCAACCAAGATTTCTTTTAAAGGTTTCTTTCACTTTCCACCATCATCCATAGCATTGTTGAATGTGGCTTTTCTAGTTCTTTTTACAAGTTAGTTGTTTATGCATCAAACTTTCATGAGGATAGACTCTCTCTTTGGAATGATTTATGGGTGATTGGCAACTCTATCATAGCTCCCTGGATGATCATTGGTGACTTCAACTATTTTAGAGCTGCTAATGGGAAGGAAGGTGGCATCCCTATCCCCATAAACAAGATTTTAATAAATGGTTTTTTCAAATTGGGCTCCCCAAGCATGCTTCTGTGGCAATTTTCATACTCAGTATAATCAAAGGCCCCTTAATCCTCTAAATATTAAGTTATATAGATGCTTGGTGAATGATCAGTGGTTGGATCTTTTCTCTAATTCTATCGAGGAAATTAAAGAGACTCTTTTTGGTATGAATAGTGACTTTGTGGTTGGGCCTGATGGTTTTACCACTCAGTTGTTTTAAAAATCTTGGCACATTTTTAATAATAATCTTTTTTCTACTGTTTTGGATTTCTTTGCTGGTAATTTTATCCCTAAGTTTTTAACTTCTACTTCTATTGTGCTAATTACAAAAAATAACTCTGTTAGTACTTGGAATGATTTTAGGCATATTAGTCATTGAAAAATACAAATGTATCTTTAAAACCTTTTGGTTAAGGTTGTCGAGGGGAGAAGATGATCTTAAAGCTAAGTGGCTTTCGAGGGGAGAAGATGATCTTAAATTTCTATACACTAAGATGAAAATCAAGAAAAACTACAACTCGCACAATGAGATTACTACACGTGATTATTCTTTCTCATCATCTGAAGAGATTTTCAATGTTATTATCAATCACTTCAAAGTTTTATTTAATGTGGCTGCTCCTATTATTTCTAATCTTTCTGGCATTAGCATAGGTGAATCCACCTCTTGCATGCTGAAAATCTTACTTGCCCTACTATTGAGGAGGATATCAAATAGATCATTTTTGAGGGTCTCGCTAATTCATGCCCTGGTCTTGATAGATTTTAATATGAATTTTTTAAAAGGGCTTGGGAGAGTATTGGAAATCAACTTTGCAAAGCTGTTATGTTTTTCTTTCATAGCAACTATCTCTCCATGATGGTTAAGTTTATTACTCTTATTATGATCCCCAAAATTAACCATGCTAATATCATTTTTTATTATAGGCCCATCTCCATGTGTAACTTTTTTTACAAAATTATTGCAAAAAATTTGACTAATAGGAAAAATTGAGTGTTAAAAATTAAAGTTCTAAATTTTCTTCCTTCAGAACTTATAAATGAGTTGGGAATTTCGGTTAGAATATTTTTGAGAATATCAAAATTATAAAGTACTTAGCTCGTGACATGATGTGGAACACAGATTGAAAA